CAGAGTTAAGCTCTTTCTCTTATGAAGAGCTAATATTTTACACTCCCCATCATAAAATCTCTCAATCAGAAGGAATGCGTGTTTCGGTTTAATACAGTTATCACTTAGTGGGGAGCTGAGTAAAAATAATTACCGTCTGACTAATGCCCTAGGTTTGAAACTCAAAACATTCAGACAGAGTTTTAGTACATGTTTCCCATCTTCAGAACCCACTGAAATATTTTATTTTATTAGGTGGCATATTGTGAATGAGGGTCTGTGCAAACGTTAAAAGCTACTTACGAAATCGAAATCATTTCACTTAATACTCTAACAGTAAGAAGAAGGGGGAGGCATCTTACTAACCCAGGGTAAAAAAATAACTTAGTAAATGATTGATATCACAGGTTTTCCAAGGTTTACTATCCATTACAATTACCCTTGTCATTAAGAGTTCTCTGTGGTATAGATGGCAGAGACCTTTGCAACAGGCAAGAATGCCACTTACTTGTGAGTTCAGAGTACAGAGACAGTCGTCATATTATTTCAAAACCCTCGCTAGAAGAGGTCCTCGTTCTTAGGAGACTGTTAAAGAGGAAATAAGCTGTTGGTCTGCTGTATCAGAGGACATCTCAAATGAAGGTGTTTTTGAGAAAGCAAGTCTTGACGTTTAGCGGGTTGTGTTTGCTGGAGAACCTCCGAGAAGGGGTGCTCAGGAGAGAGAAAATGGACCTGTGGCTAAGGCTAGGCTGCCTCTCTGTTCCCAAAGCAGCCCAGCTCTCCCCCTTGGGAACCAGCAGAGTGAACAGCCACAACGGATGGACGGGGTGAATCTTTGTTCTTTGGGGGCCATGTGGTTTCATGCAAATTGTTTAGCCAGCTGAGGTGTCCTTGGCTGTAAAATATATAGTTAAGAATGATTACCACATAAGGCTGTTGTGAGGGTCAGATGAGATAATCAATCTATGGATCAGCAAGTGGTTCTTTCGTAGCTGACTAGTTAGTGCCTGAGATGCACCAGTGAGCAAGGCCAGGCCCTGGGCCTCAAGGGCGTCTGAGCAGGACATGACAGGGCTGTTTGGTGAGTGCTTGGCAGGGTTAAGAGGAGGTGCTGTGGGAGCTCATGGGAGGGCACTAGCCCGGCTCACAGTGGGTTGTGAGATTGTTACGGAAGACTTCCTGAATATGGCTTATAACAAGGGGCCGGATTCTACAGGGACCTCCACACCCATCGTTTCCTTCCTTCCCACCACTGAATCCCCAGGATTTCCCCTCACTTCTGTCCCAAGGCTGGACTATATAGCATCAGAACTGAAACACCCAGAGGTTTGCATATGTGTGTGTGTGTGTGTGTGTGTGTGTGTGTGAGCGTGTACATGTATTTTAGGTTATTTTCTACATCTCCATCCCCACTACCCCTGTCTGTTAAAAGAATGAGAGAGACAGAGAGAGAGATTTCCAGAACAGGGAGGAATCTAAATAGCTGTCTCCCAACCTTCTCCAACCCTCATCCAGAAAATCCCCTCTTAGATTAAATATATGTGAAGACTAGAGGTGTGTAAAGGCAACAGGAAAAACCATTTCTCAACGTCAGAGGCAGGAGGCAACACAAAGCCTGACTCCACCTACATCTAAAACTACAGTTACATACACAGAGAGAGCGAGTCCATCACAAGAGGCAAGGGTGTTAGCCGGGAGCCAAGAGGGAAAGGGGCATCTTGCAGCCAGACAGCCATGCCCTTCCCAGCACCTTGCAGGGCGTGGTGGGAGTGCTTGGGCCTGCGGACACACCCCATCTACCCTGCCCTGGAGTATGTGTGCCGTTTGTGGAGAAAATGCACAAGGCCCGAGGCCCTGAACTTACAAACCGTGCTTGTAGTGCTTTTTCTTTGTTTCCCAAAGGGCAGAGTCTCGCCTTCTCCTGGAGGTGGATGGGGGCTGCCCCCGTGGGCAGCTGTCTGTCCTTGCCCGGTGCCTCTGCTTTCTCAAGGGGCACTGGGGCACTGACAAAACCACTGGATCTCTTGCTGGAGCTACATCCATTTTCACCTCTTTGCTGCCTCAAAGCTTTTGGAAGCTTGGGTGAGAAAACGATTTTATCCTGAACTTTCAGAAGCATTTCTGAAGTCTATTTTCATCTCTCCATTAAACTGGCATATCAAAGCAGGATATGGGGCAGCACACACTGTACTAATCCCTCCATGCACCCTCTCCTATATGCACCCTGGGATTGCTTTCAGTCAACTCTTTCATGAGATGAAATCAACCTACATTGAGGAAAAATGTAAGGAACCATCTCACAAGACGTGCCGCTGGCAGTGTTTAGTCTCAGGATGGTGTTTCACTTCGGTTGTGATGTCCTCCTATTAGATTCCAGGTGCCAAGTTTCTCTTTAGTCTCAGCACCGGGGAGCCAGGAAGCCCTCACCATTCTGAGCAGTGTGCTCACGGTTATTCAGTGGGTGCTCAGTTTTCTATGTGGTAGTGTTTGCTGCCTCACACCAGTCGCTTAAACGCTTAGAACATGGCATTTTCATTTTCTCTATCAACCTCACCCCTGGTTTTAGCTTAATTTTTGTCTTCATTTCTTTTGGTCTCATCTTTCCATTTCTTGTTTTTAATTTGCTTTATTTTGCTAAGGTGTATGTGTTTTTATAAGCTGCCCTAAATCTTTCTTGACCACCCAACCTAGAGGTAGATAAATAAAGTATCCACGAACCATATGTTCTGCTTACCTAATAACATTATGATGGTGATCTGACTTTCCCGGGAGAATTTTCTAAAAGGAGATATGTGCATATCAGAGGGCCCAAGGTTCTCACCTGCCAGATTGAGTTCTTCCTGCACATTAACAAATTGATACCTGAGTTCGTGTAAAAGTCTCTTATGGCCTTAGTAGTTGGGTGGCCATCTCTGAGAATACTCATTTTCCACCACTTATTCCTGCCATCATTACACACCAGACACATCAATCCTCTTTCACTTCCTTGAACACACCAAGCTCTTTCCCACCTCAGGGCCTTTGCGCATACTATTGCCTCTGCTTGGAATGTCTTTCCTTCTACTCCCCTTAGGTTCCTCTTTTTCATCATTAGAGCGGTGGTGTCACATTAGAATGATGGTGGGGGGGAGTTAATATTGATGCCCAGGTCCCAACCCAGACAAATTAAACTGGAATCTCTGGGGGTGGGGCCTAGGTACTGTTTTTTTGGGGTTTTTTGCACTGTACTGCATGCGGGATTTTAGTTCCCCATGTGGGATTGTATTCCCGGACCAGGGATGAAACCCGTGCCCTCTGCAGTGGGAGTGCAGGGTCCTAACAACTGGACCGCCAGGGAATTCCCTAGGCACTGGTATTTTTAAAAAGCTTCTCAACCAGGGCTTAGAGTCACAGCTTCAGGTCTCACCTTAAATGTCAGCTGCACGAAGAGACCCTCTTTGACCACCCCTGGGTTGTAGATATTGTCTTGCTCTGTAGTTTAGCTTCTTCTCTGATTCCTTTGCAATAGTTATTACAAATTGTAGTTATTGCATTTGTATGAATGTTTTTTTTTTTTTGTCTCCTCCAACCAGAACATAGGTCCTGTGAGCACAGGGAATATATGTCTCAGCCTTTGTGTTTCTCTTCAGTTCACAGTATCAGGCACATAACAGGATACTGAGGCTGCAACGGTGAGGGAGTGAGGGTGGCCCTCAGATGATGCATGCAGGTCTGAGCAGCCTCCTGGAAACCAGCCAAGGGTCCCTGGAATATTATGAGAGAATCCATGTCAACATTCAATGGCTATCTTAACTGGCCAGAAGGTTGTACACGCACTTTCCTTTCACCTGACCCTGGTGTCCCAGGATTTTTTGAGTGAGATTTTTTTTTTTTTTTTTTGGTCCCTGCACAGCATGCGGGATCTTAGTTCCCTGACCAGGGATGGAACCCGTGCCCCCCGCAGTGGAAGTGTGGAGTCCTAACCGCTGGACTACCAGGGAAGTCCCTTGAGTGAGATTTGTTAATAGATCCTGGCTCACAGCATCTCCTTTATGTCCATGTCTTTCCCCTTCACTTGATTTTGACTCTCATGAGTGAGAGATTCCATCTTGTTCATCTTTAAGTGCCCTCCTCCACCCCAGCACTGGACCTTGCACACAATAGGGGCTCTATAAATTCTTGTTGACTTGAATGGAGTTGATCTTATCCTTATGGCATGTAGGTATTTTGACTGAGATTTCACCCTGGGAGGTAGCATTTACGATTACTTAGGGATTTGAGGCAAGGGGGATTGTGACCACATCATGAAAGTTAAATGTATCGGGGTAGGCAACTCAGCCATAATCTAAATATGTGCAAATGGTCTCTACACCTGGATTGCACTGACGGACAGAAGAAGTAAATTTGTGTTTGGAGGCAAATAATGAAACTCTGAGGAGTCTGAAAACAACTCATAGTCATGTATCTCGCAACACAGGTGCTGGTCCATCGAAGGGTAAATGCGTGGCGGAGCTGCTTGAGCATTAGCGCTGAGTCTGTCTTTTCCAAATTGTTATTTCATAGTTATTAATAAAACAAAGTGAACCGCCCACTTACCATTTTCCCTCCATAGTCAGTATGTTCACCAAGCTGACATGAAGATCTAAGGTGCTTTTTCCTAAACTTAAATTAACCAAGACCAATCTGTGGAGTGGCCTTTTTTTTTTCTTGGTTTATTTCACTTCCTTAAGGAATCATCTTGGTTTTTCACTCTTCCTTTCCGCAGTTTTTCATAGGTGATTTGCTGGTGAGAAATGGGGGAAAAGAGAGAGGGAAATGGTCCCTAGAGAGCTGATAAATTCAACACAAATTCAGCCATGCAGCAAAGGCCTTATTCTGTCTCTTATCTGGGGAAGTTTTCATATTGTCATGGAGGGAAATGCACGTGCACATACACATCAAATGAAACCCTCTCTTCAGAGAAGCCAGCTACAGGAAATTGACTTATGCACAGGAACTTGCTAATCTCTTTTGTCACATTTGGATTGTTGCTGCTGCCTCAGTCACCACGCACACTAAACCCAACCATCTTGGGTTGGATTCTACACCAGCCCAACTCTCAAAATTTTAGCTCTTCCAACGTGAAACAGTTATATTCTTGGGGAGGAAGAAAAGATTGATCCTAGAAGGAAATCATAGCAGTGAAAGGGCTTGGGCGGCTTTTGTTTTTACTTACCTGCGCCGAACAAATTTGATTTGTGGAGTCAGTCATTTTGGTGTCAAGAAATTTCTTCGTCATTCTACAACAGGTAAGAGTTTTGCTTCTTTAAAAATATTTCTTCGGTGTTAAAAGAAATCTCTCTGACTTTATTTAGCTTTTACAATAGGCTCAACATAGTGATTTCCCTGTTCTACCTGTTGTGAAGTATGGAACCACATTACGTGGGCAAGGGGAATTGCTCTGATATCCAACTACCCCCCACCCCTGCCCAAGTCTAACAAGGTACATATAGTTTTTGAAACATTAAAAGTTATCATAGTTGGCTTTTTGGTTTTCCAGATATTCTCCTAGAGAATTCATATGCTTTTGATTGGCAATGACTGAGCTCAAATATTTGGGTAGTTTAAATATCACCCAGTGTTTGATGAAGTAAATCCAAAGATCCTCTAAGTTGTGCAAATATGAGTTTTAAAATTTTCTAATTCAAAAAAGAAACAGAGCAAAAATCCAAATGATGTAGATTCATATCTGGAATTCCTAGCTTGTGGGTTTCACCTATTCCCAATGCTAAAGTCCTCTTTTTCTAAAAGTGATATTTGATATATAAGTACATATTTTTAAATTAAATTAAATTAAATTTAGTTTTTGAGGTGGTTTGATTTGGAGACATGCTGTGAGGTACCAGTTGGTAGCCTGAGTTGTAACTAAATAAAGTTTGGGAAATCACTGGTTTTGGGTTCTTTATTAAATTAAAGCTGGCATTGAAATATTCAAGTAAACAACAAGTAGTTGATAATCACTTATTGATTCTAAGCTGGTGCCATGAAGCATATAAGAGAAATGTAAAGAATTCTCTATTTTGAAGGATTCAGTAGACGTGGTCAGAACTAAAATTCAGGAAGCAGTGCAAGATGAGAATTAAGGGATGGATGGCATGGCCACAGGCTGTAAGAGTTATAGGAGTCCTGAGAACGAGATTTGTGGGTAAGCTGGAGTAGTCTGAAAGACATGGGCCATGGAAACATAAGAGATTTTAGTAGATGGAGAAGGAGAAGGTTGATTCACACTGGATGGACTGTGTGGGCAAAGGTACAAAAGTGAGACTGACTAGAAGATGACCAGCCCAGCTGAGGAAATTGACCTGAGAAAAGATGAAAGTTTGTTTTACACATTGGCAGGAAATAAGCTTGGAAAATTAAGGTGTAGACAGGTTATGGGGGACCTTGAGAGGCTGCTGAAGAGAAAAGACTACACCATTCCGTGGTTGTCTAGTCTTCTTATGCCTTTGGGCGCCTCTTTCTCAGCTCTCGCAGCTCCAACAGAATTCCACATGAGATCCTTGCCCCTTCATGCCTGGAGCTGTTTCTTGCATCTCCGCATCTGTGATCCTCCACTTGCCCTCCCTCTACTGTTTTCCCCGAGTACATTATTTATGCAGAGAAAGGTTTGTGTGGTTTAAGGTACCTGTAAGACCTCCATTTCTGGTTATTACTTGTTAAGGAGGCCCTTCAATCATCTGGTAATTCAAGTGGCCTTCCTCTTGGGAGGACAAGTTGGTTGACCAGTTACAAGCAAGTCTCCATTCTTCAAAAGTCAGATCCCAAATCCCATGGACTATATGCTACTCCCTTTGCATGTCTGAATGAGATGTTGTGGCTATGCTGCTGCCCTTTTCCTAATGATTCCGAGCACTTTTTTTCCCTGCACTCTGAAATATCTGCGTCCACGTAACAGCAAAAGCACAGTACGGTGAATACAAACCCAGACTTTGAATCCTGGTGCTGTTGCTTCTGATTCATGAGAACCTCGGACGTGTTATTCAACTTCTTCAATCCTCATATTAAAAAAAATTCTGTAAAGTAGCTCTAACAATAAATGAAAATATCTACTTCAGAGGGTTGTTGTAGGGATAAAAGAGTTAAAAATATGTAAAGCATTTAGCCTAGTGTCTGGAATAAAATAAACTCTCAGTAAATGTAGCTATTATGATTCTTATCAAGGCTGGGGACACTAGAATGAGGATGGCATGGTCCCTGGCTCGAGAACAAGATCTCTCTAAGGTAACTTTTTAAATGCCAGTATTCCTTTAAAAGGAAAGTGGGGGTGATAAGTAGAGCCTGGGAATTAATATTTTTTGAGCACCAAGAATAGACTAAGTACAGGGTTAGGTGTTTTATAGCGATAATGAATATGATAAAAGGGAAACAAGGTTAGGAACTGATTTTTTTAAGCCTTTCCATAGCAAATTCTCAGACTTAAAGGACAACTCTCTGAGTGACTGCTGTGTTATTTGTGGGCATCTGTGGCTGATGCTCTCTGAATGCACGGGGTGGTATTATAGAGTACTTGGAATTAGAGGCGAGTGGGTGACTCTTCTTCCTTGGCCAGTTTTAATTAAATTATTTATTTTATGATATCTTTTAATTTTAGTGCTAACAAGGCACAGCTAAAAATCCACTTCTATTTAGGAATTGGGACCATTTTGACAATGAGTGCCCAGAGTGTTTGTTTGAGTTCTCGATGCTTGGGTCTGGATGAAAGCCAAGATTAAAAAGCATCCTGCTTTCCTGTACCGCTCTCCAGATCAGAGATTCTCTTGAGTTAGTAAGTGCCCTTTAAAAATGCAAATATGGCCGGTGTGTTCGTTATGCAGGGGATTCTCAATTATACATGCAGATTACTTTGGTCAAATCATAATACTGTTTTTCTTTCTAGATCCCCACTAATATCCTAAGGGAGGAAATTTTGGGGGCTTTGTGTATGGAAACGGGCGGACACAAGTCAGGATGGGATGCCAAAGTGGATTGTGCTGGAAGGCAGCCTGGCAGTATTGAGTGCTGGGCTGGGCAGTGAAGGGGTGGGGCGTTCAGAGATGGAAAGGGTGAATAGAGGGCCATGGAAGGTGCCAGAATTAAGGCTTCTCCTCTGAGGCTCTTAAGTCATTTGACTCCAACAGCTGCTTGAATGCCCCGAGCAACTTCTTGATGCCTTACATAAGAAGTTGTCATACTGTTCCTGGATTTGGACCATTGTTAAGAGACAGGTTGATTTGTCTGGTTCTGGCCTGGAATCATAGTTCCTCAAGCTGGCTGGACATGAAAACCCTTTGGGAAGTTTTTCAAAAATAGCAATTCTCATGCCTCACACCCCAACCCCGGAGTGGGGTCCAGGAATCTGTGTGATAAAAATACAATTTTTTTTTTCCCCCAGGTGACTTGGAGACAGTTGTTCTGTGGGTGAACTTTTGGGAGCCATTGATCCAGAGCTCTCCTACCAGGGCCCCCAGCACTGAGATGGTAAGTTGAGTAAGTGTTGAAATGGGGTAAAATGATCTTCCCTCTATTGTGAATAATATCGTCACACAAAAGCATTTTCCTTTGTTTTGAATTTATTTCTTAGGAGAATTTCTGGGAGTGGGATGATTTGGTCAAGGATATGAGCATGTTTAGAGTCTTTGTCAACCATTTTTACATTTTAACATGCAAATGTAGGGCACCACTTAAAAAATTCTGAAGTGTTATAGACATGTAGAGGCAATTCAGTCTCACTCAGGGAAAGCCCAAAGAAAGGAATTTGCTTTCAAGTGAGAAAGTACCAAATTACTCTCCCATTTCTCTTTTCCAGTAAAACAGAATACTGATGAATTACTTTTGGAATAAAATTTCAAAGCGTTACAGAAGGCTCAATTTCTTAGATCATAAGTTGAAGTCTTCTTATCACTAAACTTAGTTTCTTGTAAATCTGCAGTCAGCAGTGACCTCTTCCCCATTTCATAGAAAAGAAAACCAACAAAGAGAGTGGTTAAGTAACATGAATATGGTTTTCATGTCATTTCCCATGAGAACTATGTATAATCATCCATTCAGTCATTGTTTGAGAAAATAAATGATGGAGTAGTTTTTAATAGGTGACCCATGGAAAGACAGTAGTAAGATGAATGCATGAAGAGAGCATTATCCATATTGGAGGAGGGTGGGCAGAATGAATTGACCCAGATAGACCTCCTGCTCCATCTTTTTGTTTTTTTGTTTTATTCACTATGCATTATCATAATCTGCTAACCTAAAAGCATGGTTATTGCTTGTGGCACAGAGAGAATCAGGTGAATTTTCAATGGCTCCAACGGAAAAAAAAAAAAAAAGACGTGCTTTTGCAAAATATCAAGTGAGGTACACACTGTGGTGTGCGGGAGACTGCACTTGCTTACAAGAGCTGATTGTGATATTTCCAGAAATTTTACAAGCCAGTTGTTAAACACAGTCACTATTAAAAATTAAATTCTGGGCTTCCCTGGTGGCGCAGTGGTTGAGAGTCCGCCTGCCGATGCAGGGGACACGGGTTCGTGCCCCGGTCCGGGAAGATCCCACATGCCGCGGAGCGGCTGGGTCCGTGAGCCATGGCCGCTGAGCCTGCGCATCCGGAGCCTGTGCTCCACAACGCGAGAGGCCACAACAGTGAGAGGCCCGTGTACCGCAAAAAAAAAAAAAAAAAAAATTAAATTCTGTAAATCACAGTTAAGTAAATTATATTAAAAATAAAGGTAATACTCAACACTCATTACTCCTGATTATTTACCACATTTTTACTGTCATCTGTGCTTTTGAAGTTGTCTACTCCAATTTATCTGTGTGATAGGAATATTATACAATGATGTGCTATTAAGTATCTCTTTCCAACTTTGTATTCAGTGAAACTGGCCATGGCATGAGTATTTACACCACAAAAATTGGCAAACACTGTCAACCAGGCTCTCCACAATTTTTTTTTGAGGAAAGCCTGTTGAATAAACATTTACCAAAATAACACCAAGGAAATGTGTAAAATACAATCATGGCAACTTGGCAAAATGTGTCAAGAGCCATTAAAATGCTCATACCAGGGAGTTCCCTGGTGGCCTAGTGGTTAGGATTCAGAACTTTCACTGCAGAGGCCTGGGTTCGATCCCTGGTTGGGGAACCATCTTGCATGCTGTGCAGTGTGGCCACAATACAAAAAATTTTTTAAAAAAATGAAATGCTCATACACTTTGATCCATTAATTCTACCTCTGGGAATTTATTCTAAATAAATAATTCAAAGAAGGGAAAAAAATAACATGCATGAACATGTTCACTGTATTGTTATTATAACAGAAAAATCTGAAAATAACCTAAATATTAAGCAAAAGCGATCTGGCAGCACTAACTGTGTGGAATATTTTACAGTCATTAAAGGTCATAATTAACAGTAGTTATGAAAATATATTTGATACGGTGTTAAATTAGAAAATCAGGATTACAATTTTCACTTACATTCTGGTTTCGTTGTGAATGAGGTTTAAATGTGAGCATAAAAAAATAAAGCATTTGGTGTGTTAGAATGGTGAAATAGTAGAATTTTTTTTTACTTCATGTATTGTAGAAGTGGTGTGTGTGCATTAAAAACTATGGAGAAAGCCTGTAAATAAGTGGTCTTAAGTAGTTTTAATATTTAAGGGGAAGGCTAAGGGGAAGATTTGTGGACCAGATGGGGCTTGCTTTTGACATGCAGATGTGTTCTGTGAACCCTGGGCAGGGCAGGGTATTGTAAAGGGAGTTAGGATCTAGGCAGTCTGGAGTGGTGAATGCTAAGTAGGTTTCGTTAGGGCAACTCAGGAAGAAAGAAGTGACTGGCTGCCTACAGAGGATTTGCTAACGCAGTCGATGGAGATTGAGAAAGAGCCCAGAGAAAAGCTACCATCGAAGGCCGGAGAGAGAGGAGAGAACATTTCTTAGGAAGAGACAGGGAGATGCTGATCTCAGAGGTGAACCAGATGGATGTGAAAATAGTTCCATTTAGATCCCAAAACAATAGGGCTCAAAGCAGAAAGAAAATGATTCTTCTAAATCATGTGTTCTCGAATCTCAGTGTGTTTACCTGTGTGTGTCGGGGGGTGAACCTGTTACCTTGAGGCTTAGGATTGAAGGGCTTATGATGTAAAAGAGGTATGACAACAGAGAAAGCCCAGAAGGGACAAGTTATTCTGTTAAATCTATAGAAACAAACTAAAAACTGGAGACTCTTTTTATGATACTCCTTAAAGGGGAATATAGTTAGTGCCATAAAATTCCCTTCTGTAGTTAAGTAAGTTTTGTCAGGCATTTGGACCAGCTGAAAGTAACTGTGAACAGGGGAACTACAAGGGAAAGCACAGAGAAAAATGGTTAAAGGGAGAGTCTAGGACTCATGAATATTCTATTTCAAATCATTGGGAGGTGGTAATCAACAATAAACCTGAGTAGAATATGTGGTGCTATGTTCAGAAAACATTCGGGCCTTAGTGTATGATAATATCACATTAAAGAAGGAAAGAAAGCCTAATTTTTAATGAAATGCAGTACTTTATATACAGAACTGTAGCACTCAAAGTAGTAATAACAATTAGACATGTGCCATAACAACAATGTACGTATCACAAAATAAACATATTGAAAGTAAATGACATCGCAGTAGCGGAAGCCATGGTACTGAGATTATCGACTTCACCTGGCTTTAGAACTTTAGTGACAGTAATAAGCTCTCAAATCGCCTTTAATATCTTGGGTTCTTTCAACTTTACACTGAAAATTGTTTAACTTTAAAAAGGATTTCACATTCCCTGTCGTCAGGGGCAGTAGTCTCTTGGGACATGACATGATAAAACAAGGACAAATCAACAACCCTTAGCCTTGGAATCAGGGTCTGTTGGATATGCAAGGGTCTGGCACCTGAAGTCTGGCACCTGAAGTCACACCTCCTTCTGCCTTGCCTGCTGACTGTCCTTTTCCCTACTTTACAGGGTGTTTCATGGACTAATTGGCTTACACTTTAGAGCAGTATTTCCTAATCACTTTTTTGGTCATAAATTCCTTTGAGAATCTGATGAGAACCAAAGACCGTATCCCCAAGAAAAAGAACACATACAAGAACATGCACATTTGTCATACACGTTTAGGAGATTCAGGGATCCTCTAGAGTGTATCCATGGACAATCTGTAGTCCAGAGGCCTCATATTAAGAAATCCTGCCTGAGAGGCTGTCAGTATAGCAGAGAGGGCATTGCAGAAATTGAGAAAGTGCTGGTTATTGTTGATGTTGGATTTAGCTGCTAAAGAGAAAAGTTGACTCTCCAGCTGATGGCTAAAATGAGGACAACATGGCAGGTACATGTGTAATTTTATAGCACTGGATCCTCAAGTTCGGTAAACATGCGGAGCTAGAGCTTGTTCTCTTCAGAGTATATATGACTAATGTTCTACGTCCTTAATTCTGAATTCTCTTATGTGAAGCCAGGATCAGTAGCCATCTGGGAAAACATCTCTAAGATTCTATTTTAATGTCTTATTTACTGTCATGTGGTACCTACTTGGCACAAGAAATGCAGGCACTTTGTAAATACCAGTCTGGCTAGCCCCAGAGTGTAGTGAGTGGTATTCAGTATTGGATACCCAGCCAGGCTGCTTTTAGATGGGAAAGGCCTGTGTGTAATGTGATCGCTTCTGAGTGTAAAATGCTGGTTTTCCTATCTGAAGCTGAACATCTGTTTGGGCCCTGATGACTTTGGAGATAGTACTTTTCCTGGGTAGCCTTTAGACCACAGAAGCCCAGTTGGCCATCTTCTGTTAGTGGGTACTTGATTTGCAGTTTGGGGACCTGGGTTTTTTCGGCTGAAAGTTCATGCCTTTGTTAATCTCCTATCCACTTAGATGGTGACAGGGGCTCAGGCAGGGTGTGAAGATTTGTCCCAAATCTGTCATGTTGATGGAGTGGGGGAGGGAGATACAGGATGGGGAGGGGAAATGCACCCAGTCTTCAACTCTCCAGAGAAAAAGTATGTGCAACTGGATAAAAAAAAATTGTGAAATATGAGTCAGGCTTCTCTTGGTCTGGCATAGTGTAAGAATTATACGTCTTTCTTTGAGGTAGAAAAGGAAAATCTGTAACAAATATATTCAAGTAATTAGTGCGCCTCACCTTCTACAACCATTTAAATTATTGTACACCCATGACTAGGTCTCCTGCCAATTTCAGTTCAATGTATTCAATGTATTTTTCAATGTATTCAGTGTATTTTAATACATTTAATGCATTTAAATAATAACACTGCATCATAGAATCCTCAGTTACAGCCCACAAAACAGAAATATTCCACGTACACCAAAGACCAGTGGCAAACTCTCCACCCCCTTGTCTCCTGGAGATTGCTTCCCCTGCTTCGACATTACGTCTAGCGAACTAGTTGCTGTTGTGGGGAACTGACTGGCATGTATCTTGTATCTCTTCCTTGAGGCTTCTCCTTT